AGAACGTATTGATAACTGTCTTCACAAAGGCGGGGCTTACTGAGGGATCGCGAGGATAAACACGCTCCAGAGATTCTACAAGCGCGGTGGATTTGAATATTATGTAGCGTAGTATGAATTAAAACGGGTTTTTAGGAATGACAATGAGCTGCGCAGTACAGGGGGAGAGTTGGTTATAGAGTAACACCTCCTCCTATACTCCTGCCTGGCGGCCCTCGCTCCAGTCGGCGACCATGGCGACCCACACCTCGTGGTGACCACTCTTACTTCCCACAGCCACCAGCAAGCAATACCTCCTCCTCCTCTTGCCTGGTGGACCTCGCTCCCGCCGGCGAGCATGGCGACCCACAAGCTGGTCCTCCTCTGAGCACCCTCACCAACCAGCTCTCTCTACATCACGCTTGTAACCATACTGCCTTCCCAGCACCAAGCTGCATTGTACATCCAATACAATATGTATACAGAGAGCACATTGTGAGTTTCCTTTCTCCATCCCATCCTGAGTGTGAACCAAATATCCCGTACCCCACAACAGCTCAAGATTGAAGAAGCCGCAAGTCCAGAAAACTGTGAGGGCAAACTTTTTCGGAGTGAGGGTTGTGAACTCTTGGAACAATCCGCCAGAAAGTGTTGTGACGGCACCGAGTGTGACCTCTTTCAAAACAAGACTTGACCAACACTGGAGGGGGTTCAGGTACATTAAGGAGCCGGTGCATGCCAAGTATTTGCCAACAGTGTGTAACAGAGACGTGACCGATCGCCGAAGCGGCTAACAAGCCGATCTTTTGGTAAAGAGAATAAAAGAAAAGGAAATGTAATGAGAGACGTGACTGATCGCCCAAGCGGCTAACGAGCCTATCAGTGGTGAAGAGGATAAAAGACAAAAGAAAAAAAAGTACTTGCCAATGCCAACCGAACGGGACGTGGCTTTACTAGAAGTTAAAAGTAAAGGTAAGACCTTGTGTGCGTTCAGGCAGGCAGCCCACTGTGTGACGTCATACCTGTGGCGGATTCGGTTTCATTCATCAATAAGCAGACCTCTCAATGTCTAGACCCTGACAGAGACAACCGACTCCCCAAACGGGCGCTGTTGGATCAATGGTGAAAAGGATTAAAAATGTCTGTCAATATAAGTAAGAAATTAAATAATATGACGTCATTTTGATGGCATAGAATGAATCCGCATTCCCAGTGGAAGTTCAGTACTGGCGAACGAAGCGCTGTGGGAAACGCTCGTTCAGTAACTTGACGAGTACATACGTTCTTGTTTGTGGCGTCGCTGAAACAAGTAAACGTTAGTGTTGCTAATAATATTTGACGGTTTATACCATTCGTTGGCCCAATTTGTGTAAGTACCTGTGGGAGTAATTTAAAGTTCATCGTTTATCCCGTTAAAAGAAGTGAACATAAAGTGTCGATGGCTGTGTTGAGTACGGCGTTGTTGCTCTACAAGATTGTTTGGGGCGCGAAAAGATATTAGTGCCCCTTTGTTTAGTTGTTATTTATAGTCTCTAATTTTTCCATTAATGACCATTCAGCTCCTTTTTATGGAAGTCCTCTGGAAATTATAATTTCTTGCTCACCAGATTCAAGGCCAATACAGTATAGTAAGTACGGGCCGTGCGGTAACACTGTGATAACCTCAAATGCCACATCACTACCACAATCAAGGGTTGGTAGATGATAGGCTTAGGTAATAGTGAAATTGGTAATTTGTATTGTCACACCGTTCTCTGCTAGAAAGTCAAAAAAATATTTTTCTTGTGTATTTGTGTGTGTTTAGACTGAATATGACCTTCATTTCTGGCGGAAACTTGCCTTTTTTTATCGATTTTTTTTAGTTGGACGTTTTCCAAAGAAAAAAAATCATGGCAAAATACACCAAAAACACTAGAAAACCAAAAACCAAACCTAATCTAGCCTAACCTAACCGACTCTCACCATATGATGGCATCACCTATTTCTTACCTTATTGGTCTGGTTCTTGTTCGTCTTTGGATTCTGGGATTCTTACACAATGCCACATCTGTTGGTCTTTGCAATATTTACATTCAGTCTTGCTCTTAGTACACTTTACTGGGGAACGCATGCGCGTGATGATTTATGAAGGAGACACGAAACACACACACCCGTATTATTAAACATCTTCCCCTGAAGAGGGTCGTCGTGTTTCAACCCGAGTTTTAAAGTAAATGTGTCCTGTGGGACACCACAGTACAGTACTTAACGGGGTGGTGTGGCGGTAAAATGAACTAATTCCAATAAAATTAATTTATAATATTGGAATTAGTTAATTTTACCGCCACACCACCCCGTTAAGTACTGTACTGTGGTGTCCCTCAAGAAACATTTACTTTAAAACTCGGGTTGAAACACGACGACCCTTTTCAGGGGAAGATGTTGTTTGATAATACGGGCGACAGTGTTGGAGGTGAGGCAGGCGATAATAGAGGAAGATTAATGGAAGAAAATAGAGAAAATTTTGGATAAGCTATCTCCGTTATTATACATTTCCGGCGGTAATGTAATAGATGAAAATTATCTTATACAGGAATTAGATGTCTTATTCGAATATGATAATAGATTAGTGGTAGGAATGAACGGTGTGTAAACGCAATAATAACGTGAAATATTTTTAGGATTGGGTTTTATTGTACTAGTTAGAAAGGATGAAGGAAAAGGGGCCATTGATTATCTTCTCATATTAATTGATGTCGGTTGTGCAACTGAACCAATAACTTTGGAATCTTTCCATAAAAGATAAAGGTAATATTTTACATCATCATCCTAATAGAACAAAAGAAGGTTAGGTTAATAGGTATTATTGCGTTTAAACATTCCCACTTCCTACCACTAATCTATTATCATATTCTAATAAGACGTCTAATTATAAGATCATTTTCATCTATTACATTACCGCCGGCAATGTATATTAACGGAGACAGCTTATCCAAAATTTTCTCTATTTTCTTCCATTAATCTTCCTCCATTATCACCTGTCTCTCCTCCAACACTGCGTGTCTCCTACATAAATCATCACACGCAAGTGTTCCAGTACACGTCACACAACCAATCAAAAGCGTTTTTATTTTGCAACCAAATGATTTTGGGTTTAATTCGTGATATTTTTGGACCAATCAAAATCGATTTAGATATTGGATCTCATATTTTGAAATTCAAGTTCAGTTCCGACCATGGAAGTCTGCGATGGGTGTCACTTAAATTATATGGAGCTGATTGCGAGTTTTTGGGAAAAAAAACGAAGAAACTATAGCATTTTTTCGATCGCATGGTGTTCTTCCAACCTTACTAAAGTGTACTAAGAGCATGACTGAATGTAAGTATCGCAGAGACCAACATATGTGGTGTTGTGTAAGAATCTCAGAATCCAATGACGAACAAGAACCTGGTCTCCAGGCCAACTAAGGTAAGAAATAGGTGATTCCATCATATGGTGAGAGTCAGTTAGGTTAGGTTAGGTTAGGTTTTTCTAGTGTGTTGTGTGTTTTGGTGCATTTTTTTTTTCGAAAAATGTCTTGAAAAAAATTTGATAAAAAAAACCCGGCCAATTTCCGACGGAAATGAAGGTCATATTCGGTCTAAACACACACAAATACACTAGAAAAATATATTTTTTAACTTTCTAACAGATGGGGAGGTGGAAGTGCAAATTTACCGGTTAATATTCTTCTTTCACTCATTCCTTGGTAAATTTGCACTGTCACATCGTTTTCTGTTAGAAAGTCAAAAATATATTTTTCTAGTGTATTTGTGTGTGTTTAGACCGAATATGACCTTCATTTCTGGCGGAAATTAGCTGGTTTTTTTTATAAAAACAATTTCTTTGGACATTTTCCGAAAAAAAAAATCATGGCAAAATCCACCCAAAAATACTAGAAAATCAAAAACCAAACATAACCTAACCTAACTGACTCTCACCATATGATGGAATCAACTATTTCTTACCTTATTGGCCTGGTTCTTGTTCGTCGTTGGATTCTGAGATTCTTACACAACGCCACATATGTTGGTCTTTGTGATACAGTGATCCCTCGGTTAACGAAATTTTGGTTACCGAATTACCTTCCATAAGATTCTTCACTTCGGTTAATGAGCAAACCCTCGGTTAACGAATTCCTTACGAATTTTTCCCAACATGTTTTCGCCTGCATTTGGCTGCCCACCAGCTGTAGTATTAGTCCGCCAATACAGTAATCGGTTTTAGGGCTTAAATTCCTTACCAATTTAGTAAATATCAAGAAGGTTGTACTATTCAATAATTTTAAAAGTTTTATATAAAATTTTTTAGTCATTTTAACAATTATTGAATATAATTGAAGTTTAGGAAGCTAGTTTTTTGCGCTCCAAACAGCCACTCAACACACCAAGCTTGGCGTCAGTTTGTTTACCAGTTCAGAGGAAGGAACATCTTGTTTGAGACTCAACATAAACGCTTTTTTTCTGTGTTAAAAGTCAAATTATTGGTCATTTTGAAATATATTTTACATACTGATAATATATAGCACAGTGCAGTGTTGATTTAAATAAAATAATCTTGAATTATACCAAGTGAACTAAAATTTTATGGGTGAATTGGCGGCATTGGGGTGACTTCTCTTCCACCCCAATGCCTTCTCTTCTCCCTTCTCCTCCACCCCCATTCTAATTCCCATCATCATCATCATCAACCAGGAGCCTTCTACATGCACACCTCAAAGTAAGTGTACTTTACTGCATTTGTTTTTAGTTTGTATGCAATTTTCAGTGAGCTGGAACCAATTACCCAAAAACCCATTGAAACAATGGTTTCGGTTAAAAAAAATTTCGGTTAACGAGCAACCTTCTGGAACGAATTGTGCTCGTTAACCGAGGGACCACTGTATTTACATTGTCTTTCTCCTAATACACTTTACTGAGGTTGGAAGAACACCATGCGATCGAAAAAATGCTATAGTTACTTCGTTTTTTTTTTTCCAAAAAACTCGCAATGAGCTCCATATAATTTAAATGACACCCATCGCAGACTTCCATGGTCGGAACTGAGCTTGAATTTCGAAATATGAGAGACCCAAAATAAAACTTGAATTTGATTGGGCCAAATATATATCGCGAATTAAACCCAAAATCATTTTAATTGGTTCCAAAAACAAAAACGCTTTTGATTGGACGTATGACGTGTACGGGAACGCATGCGCTTGATGATTTATGAAGGAGACACGCAGGAAACACGCAGTGCTGGAGGTGAGGCAGGCGATAATGGAGGAAGATTAATGGAAGAAAATAGAGAAAATTTTGGATAAGCTGTCTCCGTTTTTATACATTTCCTCCGGTAATGTAATAAATGAAAATTATCTTATAATTAGACGTCTTTTTTGTAATTATGAATCAATATTTAAGAGTAGCGCTTCTTGTGCAAATGCTCAGTTTGTAAAATATTTACCCTCAAACATAGACATACTTTCAGCTGCAACAAGGTGATTTAGTGCTCTGCCAGAGTGGGATAGGTTAGGTTAAGTTAGATTAGATTAGGTAGTGCTATATGTTTACCTTTGGACAATTTAATTAATTTTAAGCAGTTTTCAGTCTTCGTCTGTGAGGAGATGTTATCAGCGCATCACGCATGCACAGTATTTTCATATGACATCCAGTCATGATCAATGAGGTATTGATATGTAAACGCCTTAATTAAGGACGTTCAGGTTATGGGCAAGTTGAAGAGAATGATTGAAACCCGTCTTTTGATGCATTCAATATTTATTGATGTGGTCAAAACCTGCAGAGGAGAAGGCGTTCATAATATTTCGAGGTGATCCATCTGATACATAATTAGTTAGTCTCACACAATTTTATCTTAATTACAATTTATTAAACATACTGACATAACACAAAGTTCATGACTATTAATCCTAGCTTCGCTTCATTCTGCATTGTCTTATTACTGCAGGTTAGGCAGAAATGAGTAGGCGTAATTAGTCAACAATATTTCAGTACCGAGGGGTATGTCATCACTTAAACTGTACTTACAAGTGCTGGTCAATGCAGATCAGTATGGTGTTCCAAGAGAAAACAGTATTGCGTAAATCGTCCCAGCACAAATTCTCGGACAGGAGAAGGCTGGTCTTCACAGCATCACTAGAGAGGGCGATCTGTCTAATGAGGGGCGGGCAGCCACCGCCACCAGTCTAAGACAGTCCACTCAGCAGAACCAGGACTTGTCTGTAAACACTTCTACATCTGGCGAGGTCACAGGTCGAAAGATTTAATGGCATCACACGCTAGCACTGTAGCTGAAGCCACTGGCGATAACAGATATCTTCATGCGAATGTTTTTCGACCAATCACATTTTATTTTTTTTCTAAGGAAGCAGCCTGGGTAATTTCATTGATCAGTTTCACAATGGCCGTGGTGGAGGTTGGTTGTCGTTTGTGCTCCTACAATTATTTTAAGTTTATTACCGAGTTTTACGAGAAAGAACATCATTCTATCCAATTCTTACATATCCCTGGTCCTTCCACTTCTAACTGAGGTATTGTACTTTTGGACATGGCACGCCCCAAAGTTTTTAACTACTGAAACATTTAGGTTAATTTAAGCTAGGCCTACCGGGGGATCCGGGGGCGGAGCCCTCGGTTAGGCCTATCGGGGGTCCGGGGGTGGAGTTCCTAGCTAGGAGTTAGGTTAGGTTTTGTTAGGTCAGAGAACTTGTTTTCATTTTCTCCCCCACCCAAAAACCCTGATTTCCTAGGCTCTCTCCCTTTATTGTGAGTGGGGGCAAAAATTAGCAATTTCCGCCAAAACTGAAGGTCAGATTCATTTAAAACACACCAAAATACACTGGGAAATCATATTGGTCAACCCCAAGGGACTCATGTCCTAAAGTAAAAATTTACCCACCTTTCTTCAATGGCATTTCTGTCCGAAATCTATTTTTTCGATTATTCTAATAGTCAAAATTACCAACAATATTACTTGCTTAAAGTGGGCAGGACTTTGAAGTCGAGGGAAAATGTGAGGTAAAATACTAAAAATTACACCAAACAAATCTTTGAAAACATGACCTAACATTTCCTAACTTTTAAAAATCCCAAACCTATAAAAAATTTACCTTGTTCATGTTTTCGGTGTTTAGTAGGTGATGGTGTTTTCTTAAAAAAATTACAAGTTAGGAAATGTTAGGTTTTCAAAGGTCTCTTTGGTGTTATTTTATAGTATTTTACCCACATTTTCCCTTGACTTAAAAGCTCTGGAATTTTTCCGGGTACTGTACTGTACTGGGGAAAGTTTTCCGAGAGTCTAAACTACAGTACGCATCTAGCAGTATATATGTTCTTGACTATTTTATTAGCTACACAATCATCTTAAGTACTTTTTCACTACTTCCTCTCCACTATCTACATTACAACCACTATATCAACTACACTACTGTATTCTTATTCTACAACCACTACACTATAATCTACATTACAACCACTACACCATCAACTACAATGCTATCTCTTGTCGGTGAGGGTCAAACCTTTTGGGACCCTCTCCCCCCAATTTAGACATGTTTTTAATGCGGGGGGGGGAACCAACTCCCCAAAATTCCAATACAACACATCTGGGTGCATACACATCTTGCCAAATTTCAGCTCTCTTACTTCAAAACTGTAGCTGTGCCTAGTGAGCAGTCACAGATAGAGACACTGTGCTCTCTATATACTGTATAAACAGTAACAGTAAATAGATGTACTGCTTCCTCCTTATGGATGAATGTAAGTTTTTCATATTTTGTTCCATAAATTATATGCATATTTATCTTACTTTTCAGTCCCACCACAATGGGACGAGAACGGGACAGGGATCGAGACCGTGAACGGTATCACCGGCATAGGTAAGTGTATTATTTTTCCATTTTAATTGCAATTCTGGTTGTTGATTACAGTACATTTCCGCTTTAGTCTATACAGGAGGTCCCTGACTTACGAACGTCCAACTTACGAATACCCACCAATACAAACAGGGTTAAACTTGAAATTTACAGTATTTTATCCACCTGATGACTTTTTTTTTTCATTCATTTACTGTATTTTATCATTCTATTTCTTCTCTTGTCTTAAATTAAGGGATTTTAGATGTATATAAGGACTTAGGCTATGATACACAGTAAAGTTTCCGATAACGGTTCGACCAACAACTTTTTATATTTAAGACCCTAGTTAATTTAGGACCCAATTCAATTTACGTCCTTATTTCATTCATATTTACGACCAAAATATAATAAAAAATAAAATAAAATTACATTTTCATATAAATAATATCTAAATCCAAATACAGGCATCTCCGCGTTACGGAAGCCTGGGTTACGGAATTTCGCTCTTACGGAATTTGTAAATTGCGACCATTAATTTCGCGTTACGGCCCGTAAATCCGCCCTTACGGAAATTGGTGTAAATTTTAACAATTAAAAAAAATCACTATATAAAATTCAATTTTTTTGTTGAAAATGATAATTTGTTAGGTGTGGATTTCTTGGTGTTTGCTACCGCCAAGCATGGCATCGCCACGAGGAGTCACTCCATTGTTTACATCCAGTGTGTGCGCATGTTTTGCACCCCAGCAGTTGGATTTAACTTTTACAAACATACAGTAAGTACGGTACAGTGCATTACCCTTATTCAAGATGACTGGAAAGAGGCCATCAAGTGGAAGCGACCGCAGTAGTGCAAAAAGAAGCCGCAAAGGCATTACATTGGATATTAAACTTGATGTTTTAAGAAGGTTTGATGCTGGAGAAAAACTTAGCCAGATTGCAAAAACATTAGGTCTTGCTACTTCAACAGTGGGAACAATCCGTGATAATAAGGACAAAATAAGATCAAGTGCTCAAGCAGCTACTCCATTAACTGCTCGAACCTTGTATTTTCATCGAAGTGATGTGATGCTAAATATGGAATGACTCCTGAGTGTCTGGATTGAAGATCAGACTAAATGCAATGTGCCACTAAACACTATGGTTATTCAATAGAAAACCATAAGTTTATATAATGATTTGCAGGAAGAGGAAGGTTGCATCTTCTGAGGTTAAACCTTTTCTGGCTAGTAAAGGCTGGTTTGAAAGGTTTAAGAAGCGCCTTAATTTACACAACATAAAAATGAGCGGTGAAGCTGCCAGTGCTGATACAGAATCAGCTAATAAATATCCTGCTGAACTGAAGAAAATCATTGATGAAGGAGGTTACACACCAGAACAAGTGTACAATGTTGATGAAACTGGGCTTTTCTGGAAGCGCATGCCTGCTAGAACTTTTATTTCCACTGAAGAAAAATCAGCACCAGGCTTTAAAGCATCCAAAGATCGTTTAACACTTCTTGTGGGAGGAAATGCTTCAGGTGACATGAAATTAAAGCCCCTACTAGTGTATCACTCAGAAAATCCAAGGGCTCTCAAGGACTATGCCAAGTCTAATCTACCTGTGATTTGGCATTCCAATAAGAAGGCTTGGATGACTATGACCCTTTTTCAAGACTGGTTCACTAACTATTTTTGCCCTGCTGTAGAAAGATATAATGCTAAGCGTAACATATCTAATAAAGCATTGCACCAAGCCACCCAGTAAATTTAAATGATCTTTCTGATAATGTGAGAGTGGAGTACATCCCCAAGCTCACAACTTCCTTGCTCCAGCCAATGGATCAAGGTGTGATAGCTAACTTTAAGGCATATTATCATAGGAAAACTTTTTTGCAGCTCAAAAGCAATTGATGGGGAGGATAAACCTACAATTAGGGACTTCTGGAAAAAGTTCAACATCTTGGATGCTGTGGATAATATAGCCGAGTCATGGGATGAAGTGAAAACCTCAGCTATGAATGGTTCATGGAAAAACATATGGCCAGAGTGTGTCCATGAATTTCAAGGTTTTTCACAAGCTGAAAGTCTACAGAAAGTTCAACAAGACATTGTGATACTTGCAAATAATATAGGCTTTGAAGAAGTTGTGGAAAATGATGTGGTTGAGTTGCTAGAGTCCCATAGAGAAGATTTGACTAATGAAGATCTGATGGTGTTGGAACAAGAGCGAGCTGCAGGACAAGAAGAGGATATAGAATCTCCACCCACCCCACTTCAGTTGACAACAAAGGATATGTCTAAAGGGTTTGTACTAATACAGGAAGGTCTGCAAATCTTTGCTGATAACGACCCCAACCATGAAAGGAACATCAAGATTGCAAGAGCAGTTAACAATGCTCTCAGTTCCTACACTGAGCTGTACAAGGAGAAGGTGCGCCGTAAACGTCAAACAACTTTGGATGAGTTATTCAGAAAAAAGGTGAAAGCAGATGAAGAAGCAGATGATGATTTACAGGGCAGGGCAGAAGACAGTAGTGCCCCTCCCCCTCCCTCCCAATAACTTCCTTTGCACCACCAATCCTCACGCAGCAGTCAACATCTTTTGTGAGTACAGTACAATATTTTTATTTATTCCAACTGTATTTCTCTTCATATTACATGTACTATATCATGAATTATTTAATGTACTGTATTGTATGTGTTTATAAATGTTTATTTTCATTCATAAAAGTGCTTGAATTATGTTTTTGGGGCCTAAAAAAATTCTGTAGGAACGCATCTCCAGTTTTATAATGGAAGTCAATGGGAAAATAGGTTTCGCATTACGGAATTTCGTGATACGGTCAATTTTCCAGGAACGGAACCCTACCGTAACGCTGGGGATGCCTGTATGTATTATATAAAGAAAATACTGTAAAAAAATGAAGAGTGCATTGCACAAAGAAGCTGCCTGGCTAATGAGTGGTAAACAACAGTCTGACCTTGGCGGGCCTTTTGTTTTCACGCATCTGGAACAGGAAAAGGAGAAAAACTTTCTCAGGTTTCTTACAGAATTTTTGCATCCCTATTCAACAAGAACAAGAGAGCAAGTGATGGTAGTGTTGTTTCAAAAGCTAATAGAAAGTGTATAAGCTTAGCTGAGAAACTAGATGTTTTAAAACAACATGAAAAGGGTGAGAGGCCTGTGGATATTATATGGAGCAAGCAATGAACATATTTTCTGAAGTGGATCCATTAACAGAACAAAGCATTAAAATTTAAATAAATGCAAATGACCTCTACATAAAGATGTATAATGAGAAAAGAAAGCAGCAGTGCAAGGTTCTTTCGACAGCTTTATTATTCGAAGGCCTAAACCATCAACTTCAGCTACACCATCAAATTTAGCATTATAAGCAGCTTTATGGAAAGCTACAGCTTCAGCCAGAGTTGAACCTGATGACTTCGTCATCTGAGTAAAAATTCACACAATATTCATTGGCTGTCCTATTGTTTTAGACTTTACCACCATTAGTGAGTAGAATTTTTGTTTTACATTCGTAAATATTATTTAAAATATATATGAACATTAAATAAGTGTTGCTTTCATATTCATATGTAGTAGTGAAATGACGATATGTTTTCACATGTACGCACTTACTGTTCATACGTTGGCGTTCCCAATCGTCTCGCGTTATTTCTTTACCATTAGTGGTTAGCTTCTTCTAATGTTCCATTTATTAACATTAAATAACATTACTGCACTTAAATCATACATAAAGTATTAAATTTTTTTTAATTAATTTCACTACAGCTACAACCTGGGTTTTATTTTCTTCAGTTTCTTATGTCGAACCATTGTCACTCACGAAAACAATGCCGTCTTGTATCCTTGTGTGTAATTTAATATTCTACGTATTTTTAATGAATTGCATTGTTCATTTCACATATATTAACATTAATTCATTCAAATACATATTCAGTAATAAACAATAATGAATCTTTTGTATACAGTATATTCTTAAGATAAATTACTATGTTTCCTTGAGTGTGCACGAAAAACATTGGCGTTCCACTATCAGTCTCACTTTTTCTTTAATATCAGTGGTTATTTCTACTGTACATTAAATAACATTAATTGAAACATACATATTTTTTTACATTGATTTTACTACAACAACAACAACCAGTCTTATTTTCTTCAGTTATGGGTGGATAACTGACATTATGGGTGTTAACACTGACAACAATGCCGTCTCTTATCCTCTTGTGTGTTTTAATATTCTACGTGTCATTAATGAATTGTATTGTTCATTTCGCATATATAAAGATTAATTCAATCAAATACATATTCAGTAATAAACAATAATGATTCTTTGGTACACATTCTTAAAAAGATAAATCCGCACGTATATGTTGGCATTCCCAATCCATCTTGTTTTTTTCTTTGCCATTAGTGGTTAGCTATCTCTATTGTTCCATTTAATAACATTAAATAACGTTACTTAAAACATATAAATTCATTTTTTACATTAATTTTACTGCAGCTACAACCAGGGTCTTATTTTCTTAATTTTCTCGTGTAGAACTATCGTCCCGGACTCCCGGCTGTAAACACAAACGAAAACAATGGCGTCCCATCTCCTCTTGTGTGACCATATTATTATTCATTTATATTGTATAAGGTGCAGTCAGAAACATTATTTAAAGAATATAGTTTGCACTTTTCATTAATTGTATTGTTTGGGGGGTAAAGAGGGTAAAAAGCCACACAAAAGATATGAAAAGGTCACACTTGGGAATGCATCTCATTATTATTGCTTTATTTTAATGGTAATTAATGATTCGCGATACGATGATTCACCTTACACTGCAATATTGGAGGACACATTACCGTCTTTATTCGAGGCTTTACTGTAGTGGGATTTTAAACATTGTTCTGTAAGTACAGTATGCACATAGCATGTGTTCCAACTTGCGAACATCTTCAGGAACAGAACCCGTTTGTAACCCGAGGACCCCGTACTCAGAATGGCATGACACATCGTCGGTAGCTTGTG